CCGCGCCGCCTTGCAGAGAAGAGCAGGGCTGGCCGGCCGGCCAGGGCTGCCCGACACCGCTTGCGCTCCCTGTCACGGGCGCCCCGTGCTGCTCCGAGTCCCCTTCAGCTGGCGCAGCACCCCCTCGCCGGCCCCACAGGCTGAAGGCAGAGCCGCGGCCGTACCCAGAGGCCCCCTGTAGCCCGCGAGGGGCCGCAAAGTGGCTCACCCGCCAGAGCCCCAAGGACAGACAGGTGCCTGGGCGCAGAAGGGTGGCCGGCCTCCCACGAGGCTCACTTAGCCAGTGGCGGGGAGAGGCCCGGGGGCAGGCGGGGCTGCGCTCCTGGCAGGCCTGGCTCTGGGCCAGACAGCTGGGGTCCGGCTGGGCTTGAGGCAAGTGGGGCAGAGCCTCCAGCTGACACAGGCCTTCCTGGGAAGCAGCGCTGGACAGAGCCCTGTGGACGGGCAGTGGTGGGCTGGGGACGGGCTGGGAAGCCAGGTGAGGCTCAGAGCTGGGGTGTGGTGTCTGGGGGCTCCTGCTTCCCAGGGAGACCCGGTGGCCCTGGGCTTGGACATGTGGATGGGGGAGTGGGCTGAAGCCCACTTGTCGGGGATCAGCGCTCACCAAGGACATGGGCGGGCACCTCGGGCCTGCGGAGGCCAGGCCTGGCCCTGCCCACACCAGCTAGGGCTCTAACACCGGACGAGGGAGGGAGGGAGATCAGAATTGGGCATGGCCACACGGACAGCCCGAGGCGTGGGGGCTGAGGCCGGGCAGGTGGGGAGGGCTCGGCCTTCCCCACACCACTGCTCTTTCTAGAGCCTTCCAGCCTTCATGGGGATGGAGACAGGGAGGGTCCGTCAGGGTGTGGGCGCTCTGAGGCCCCTTCCCTGCCGGCAGGCCTGAGGAGACACTGAGGGGAGGCCCAGGTGGGCCCAGACTGCCCAGGCCGCAAGGGGTGGCCGCAGCTCCCCCAGGCAGACTCCTGAGCTGGGTGGATGCCAGGCCCCCCGAAAGTTTCAGGACACATACAAGGGCCACAGCTGAGAAGACAGTTTTAGTTTTTATTATTTGTATAGTACAATCTCTGTGGGAGCAGAAACATAGGCACAAAAAACAAAGAGTTCTGAGTAAAAAAAATCTCTAAAGAACATTTCATCCGTGTAGATTTCACAGCTGTCCACCACCCGTGCCCCACAACACCCCACCGCCGGCGGTGGGCCCCTTCAGAACCACTGGCGGGGAGGAGCCCACCCCGCCGGCCGCCCAGGCCGGGCTCGGGGAGCCCCGCCCCGGCTGAGCAGAGACGGCCCGGCTGCCCAGCCCGGCGTCCAGCACACTGCGGCCAGGCTGCCCACCCGACCCAGGATGGGTTAGCACAGCCTTCTGTCAGGAGGGCCCAGCACCCGGTCCCCCGAGATGGTCAGTTCAGCAGGCGCCGTGACAGGCGCCCGGAGCCACCCTTGGTTGGGGCAGCTGGGCCTCAGGCACCCGCTGCCCGCCTCCGAGCCGGCCGGCCGCCGGAGCAGCCGCTCACCGGGAGGCCACTCTGGCCCCGGGTCCGCAGCGCTGCTCAGCCCCCTGCCGCCTCCAGCAGCTCGCGCCGGAGTAGAAACGCCCCTCTAGAGTAAAGGATTCTGGGATGCTGCGCTATTGCACTATTGTTCTCTAGTCTGCTTCCGATCTCGGGTCAGAGTGCTAGTGAAACCGTAAACAAGGTATGAAATAAATGTTACTCGATTTAATACAGTCTTTCTATCATGCACGCCTGTGTTCGTGGTGAGACTTCCCAGCCTTCCTGCTGCAGGCACAGTGGCCGGAGCACAGAGGGGCCCGCGGCCCGGCACCCCACGCCGTCCAGGGATGAAGTGTCGCCGTCCTCCCAGTCACACCCCAAGCCGCTTCTTCTGGTCGAAATAGGCGTCGAACCTTGCCTGGGCGTAGTCCTGGGGACACAAAGGGGCAGCTCGTGCGCGCCCGGCC